CATAATTTTATACAGCAATGTATGATGCCTTAATTTAATTGCATCTTATTTTTACAGATCTACTGAAATTTCTCTGATTAGCTTAAAGCTAGAATTATCTGATCAGCCTGTTCTAGGGTCAGCCTATAAGGAAAATTTTGAAACTGTAATAAATCACCTCTTTTTGCCAGCGGCAATGAACACCAGCCTGAAGAGCTACCGAGGTTCAGTTGATGGGTAGTAACTTGTAAAACTTCGGAGTTTGAGCCTTTACGTGTATAATTTAAATTTATTGTGATCTCTGTCTGTGTGGACATTCTTTAGTGGTATTTTCTGTAATGCTTTTCTTCTAGAAAAATAGAAGCCAATGTTGCCAAGAACCTGTGTTTTGTTTTCTAACCACTGTATTGTCCAAAGTGGTGGCTAATTTGACACTGTTAGATTGATTTAAACCTGGTTTGCATAACTATAAGCAAAGGATATCTTTTTCTTAAAAAACCCGGACAAATGAAACCCCCAAACAGATCTTGAAGGAAAAGCATTTTTTTCAGGATTTTTCCCAGAAAAAGCCCAAGCTTGTGCAACTTTCCAAAAAAAAGCCCAGAAATATTCTGAAAAGTTGTAAGTTGTTTAGAACAAGTGAATAGAATGGATTTGCTTTAGATAATTCAGTATACCATCTTTCGTAATCTGAAGTCTTAAAGCTACAGATAACATAAAACCGTGGTAGATACTGAGGAAGTAATAAGCAATAAACAGTTGTTCTCAGAACGTCTGGAAACAGAGAACTTGCATTAGAAATGGAAGAGCAGGTAAAAAATAGAACCAAGGAAGTTCAGCTGAAAATGTATGGAAGATATGTCTTTGCTGTACGAAGTGTTAGATAAGGCCTTTCCCTCAATCCACAGATAGCAATTATTTACATCTTAAACTCGAAAGATTTGCTTTATCTGTAATGCTGACTTATTAATGACTACTGTTTTACTTTTCCCCTCCTTTCATTTTTAATACCAGGTTACTTCAAACCCTGAATTATGACTGGACATATTTAAACAGCTTTCACAAACACATCTGTGGAACAGTTTTAGGTTTGTGTTTTATCAGCAGAATAACCTCTGGTCTTTCCTTTAAAGTTAGACGTGTGAGAGTTGTACATGTAGATATTTAAATCTGATTAAATACAGAGCCAGTGTATTAATGACACAAACAGCTTTACTAAAGAGTGTAGAATGTTAGCCTTCACCGTGCGTCTGTGTTATCAAGATTTTTTTTTTCCCCTTGAAAATGCCTGTTGGTGGGCTGCCATCAAAATACACGAATACATCAAAATAAAAAGTGCTGCTTGAAAAGTCTTGTTACAGCAATAGATTTTTTTTTTTTCAAAATGATGTGTAAACAGGCATTTAATAAAAAGATTCTGCTAGATGACAATGCAGTACTCATGTTAGCTTGAGACCACCAAGAACTTTTATCACAAAACACAAGCCAGTAGCAATGCAAAAGCTTCCTGCAAGTTTCACCCCAGTGTTTTCAGCGAGTGGGGTAGGGGATGGGGAAAATGTATACAAGCCACAAGAAAAATGGCATTGTAATTACATTATAAGAAAATATTATGCTGTGGATATGCCAACTTCTGGTTAAACTTCCTTGGTTCTGTTCTTTACCTGCTCTTGTAGTCTCAGTGGAAGTTCTGTGTTTCCTGCTATTCTCAGAACAATTGCGTATTACTTAATCTTAATTCAATATTGGCAGCATTTTTATTTGATAATTTGGAAATAATTTTTACTTATTTGATGGCTTTGTCCAGGAACTGTTTTTAATATATCTTCCAAAAAAGCCCCAACAAACCCAACCTTAAGTGAGGAAAGCTTTCTCTCAACTGGAACTTCAATGGAGATGTACCTGTGTTCTGTACTGTTAAGCATCGCAGTATACGATGCTATTTGTGTTATTTCAAGTAAAATGTTTAAAAAATAAAAAGAAAAAGAGTGTTTACTGTAATTATATAACCAATTCTGGGAGATAAACACAACAAAATTATTGTCAGTTAGTAACAATTTGGAGTATTTAGTGGTGCCGTTGGTGAAATACTGTTGAAGATAAAATTTTCCATAATTTTTTAAACTGAAAAATGCAAGTACCATAATTGAGACCAGAATGAGTGGAAAGTAAAAAGTGTTTCTCTTGTCCACTGAGAGGTTGTTAGTCCTTTATGTAACCTTCAGTTATCAGTCTGTACTGATGTGGTATATTAGTTTTGGCATCTAGCCAAACATAATAAAACAAGATAAATGCAGAATTTATAGTTATTTTACCAAGATGAGTTAGTTTAATCTTGGGGCTTTTTTAATAAACTTTTAAAGTGAGTTGAATATTAAGTGAAGTTTAAAGTTTCTAGTCTTCAAGTCAGGGAAGATAAATAAAATCAAAGTTATGGCTTTAGGCCCTAAGGAGTCTCACTTGCTTGTTTTTGTATCTGCTTGTGTAAATAAAGTTTTGGGAAACACTTTGCTGTGCAGCAACTGCACGGTTTTTGAGCAAGAATGGCAGAATTCACTTACAAAAAAGAAAGCAGTAGTAGACAAGTTTACTGAGACCAGTGTCCCTGAGCGTTATCAGCAGATCTCTCTTCCAAATAGACCAACTATATAGCTAAAATATAGAAAATCATGAATGCTTTCAATGTGTCACATTGAATGTTGATATCTCATGAATATGTATGATTTAAATCAGGAAAATAAGAGCAGGCAGATATTTATACTAACGAATAGTTATTCCAGTTGATTGTAAATATTTTTATCCCAGAGTTTGATAATGTCTTATGCTTGCTTTTAGGCCTAGCTATTCAAGCTCTGAGAAGGGGAAAAGAGAAAACAATAGATTTGCCAAAGCCAGGGAATGTTGTCTTGTTAAGCTGCTCCCTTGGAAAGCTCTGTGCGTTTGTAATTAATAAGCTAAAGCAGCTTAGCTCAAACAGTGTGCAAAACTCAGTGATCAAGCACTTTCTTTAATTGTTTGCTCAAATTCTACCGAGCTAAGGCTTCTGGACTAAAGGAGCTTCACTATATATTATACAGGTATAGGCTGTACTGGTGAATACTCCCGGAGATTATGTGATTAAATTACCCCTATTAATATGAAAGAGGGAAGGCACAACTTCCTTTGAATTTACGCATAGTTACGGCTGTGTTCAACAAATACAAATGTGTTCGGTATAATGATCATGTCTCTTATGCAGCCTTGGTTTACAACCAAGAGATGAGCTTTCAAGCAGTTTGCAGGCTAAAGTTTCCACTGGGGCGGAGGGGAAGAGGATGACGAAGGTCTTTTACTCAGTACTTGGAGCTAAAAATTTTGTGCATCTTGCATTTTTTGTTAGAATGAAGGCCAGGTAACCAGTCTTCTGCCTGCTTTTGGTAGTTGAGGGCTTTCAAAAAGTATTCTGGAATCTGTGCCAGCCTTTGCAGTTTTTTTTTCTTTGGTTTTGTTTGTTTTTCCTCTGAGACAACCTGAATCACTGGAATGAAAATCAGGTATCAGCCTGGGGTAGCGGGGAAGAAGGGAGGGAACCCCATCATTTGCCTCCCTGGGAGCATTATTAATGTGTTAGAAAAGAAAGGATAGAAGTTAATGATGGTAGAGCAGGAATTGCGAGATGCCTTATAATCAGTGATCTGATTGAGAATACTAATTATTCTTTCACATACACGGTATTGAAAAAATAACTCTCTTCTTGGGTGATTACAAAGTTGTTTCTCATCTTTTTTTATTCAACTTAGTTAAAAATACTGCTTGATCCTGTATATATGCCAATAAAGGTTGATATACTAGAGTATAGCAAATACTGTCTCTAAAAGTCTGCTGGAATGAAATGCAGACATCCTGGTTGCCCTCATTGTGCCAGCCCTTGCTATTATCTCAAATTCTTTTCTTTAACTGAAGCAGTTCAAATAATGCCAGACTCTTGTCCTTAAAAGATAAAATTATTTGTGTTTGACTCTTTAGTACTGTGTGAGGCTTGTGCTGGGTGTTGGTATGTTTGAAGACTCCATTTATAAAGCAGATGACTAGCTGTCAGTTTCATTTTATTCCTCATTAGTGGATTTCACTTAATTTGCTTTAAAATTACAGGTTCATTGTAAAAAATTTGATTATCTGGCAAAAAGCTTTTCAGACTGCGGAGTACAGAGTGTTTCGTGTGCGTAGTTATTAGTTTATCTTTAATTATACTATAGTTCTGATTTCAGGTTGATCTGCGTCTTAATGAGTTTAAGTCAAGCATATTATTCCCTTTAGAAGAGGACCGTGTTGCTTTGACTTTCCAGTCAAGTATTTTAGGATATCTTGGAGCATGTGAAGATAGCATTCTGTTATCGAACTGAGAAATCAACAGTCATTCCTCTCCCCCCACTCCACCCTGTCCATAACCTAATGAAATTTTTAAATGCCCAGAAGAACAAAACATTAGTGGTGGAAAAATATTTGTAAATAGCTCATTAAAAGATTCACACATTGCATTTTGGTTCCTTTAAAAAGAGAGAAGTATACGAAATGCCTGACATTCAGGACTTGAAGTATGGATTGGACTGGGAAAATAACATTAGAACTGGGTTGCCAGATGTTAACATGTTTTATTAGAAATGAGAAGGAGGAGACTAATCTGCTTCTGCATTCTCAGGACAGATTGAAAACCTGATATTCAGCCAAAAATAGATAAAACTGAAAAACAATTCTTCAAATTCAAATCCTGGTATTATTTTTTCGTGGACAGAGTTTTAACTGGTCACATCCAGTCAATTATCTATCTTTCCCCCTATGGGCCTTGATTAAATATTACCATAAGAACTTTGATTAGGAAAAATTCACCCAGGATTGTGATAATCAAGTCTCTGGATGGTATGTGAGTTTGGGAGTCTGGGCCGAATGCTTTCACCTGAATAATGGGATATATTCTGCAGGGGCTTTTGTGAATGATCTGATTGATTAGGAAACAAAGGATTTTTTTTTTTTTTTTTAATTTGTAGGAACGGTCTCTTTCATCTTTTCTTTAGATTTCTTCAGTAGCAAGATGGATTGTAGCAGGTAATTTTTCCTTAAATGTCACCATTTTTAATCTTCACCTTGTTTCTCTTCTGTTTGAGAGCTTTTTGGTATTTAAAGTTAGGTTACTAATTAGAGAGTAACATGTAATCAGTTCCAGCAATACTTACACTGTTAAAAATGTTTTTTCTGTAGAGGAGTTTTGTTTGAAAAGCAGGACTATCTACCCTGTGGTTAGAACTTCATATTCTGGTATTACTCTCTCAGGCTAGTAGCTTGTACTAGCAGACTAGTAACAGCTTTGCTTATGAAACAACATGGTGGTGTTGTAACAACACTGTTGTTGCAGCCTGTTAACAACTCCTCCTGTTCTGGTACAAGGTTTGCTTCCGTTCAGTGAGGGAGCCCTTGGAAAAAAATCTGTCTCCTGCATGCAAAAACTTCTTTAAAACAGAAAGGATGTTTTTTGTGAAGCGTTTAGTAACTTGAGTGGGGGAGGAGGTGACAGCCTGTAGCTCATAAGTGAAATGTAAATTCTTTGCCAGGACTTCATCATAGGACTGACAGTACTTTTGTGCCAGCAGAGTTTGTTGGGTACTTTTCAATCTTTGGATGTGGAAGAGAATCATTAGTAGTTACTGAAGAACTATTTTAGGTCTCCTTAGGGTGCAGGAGCTTTACCAGCATAAAATACAAGAGTGGAGCCCCTGTGGGATTAATTTTTTAGCTTTTAACTATTTATGAGTTAATTTTTCTGCCTTTGATCTCCAAGACAGATTAAGATTTGAGTTTACAATCTCTAGCAAGGCTAGGCCTTGGAAGGCTACTCTTTTCTTACGTCATCACAAGGAAAAGGGAATTCGAGTGCATGGACATAAGAAGGTTTCTAATAAAATTCAAGTGCAGATATTTTGGACACCCATGCTTCCTAGTCTGTGAAGTTGCTGTTCCATCTTTTAGTTTCTTCATATCCTCATGATACTGCCTCATGAGCCATAGAGTTTCTACCACTCCAGGTGAAAAGGCCAGAATGTTCTAGCTTAATCACTCATCATAGCTTGTGTTAGTGGCAAAAGAAGATGGTGATGGAACATTTCCTCCAGCAGAAGTGAAAGCAAGCAGTTTGCCCATTTTCCACTTTTTGCTCTACTGGTATGTTCCTGCTTTACTGAATCACAGAATCATTTAGGTTGGAAAAGACCTTCAAGATCATCGAGTCCAAACATTAACCTAACCCTGACATCCCACCACTAAACCCTGTCCCTAAGCACCTTGTCTGCCCAGCTTTTAAATACCTCCAGGGATGAGGACTTGACCCCTTCCCTGGGCAGCCCCTTCCAGCGCTTGACAACCCTTTCGGGGAAGAAATTTTTCCTAATGTCCAACCTAGACTTGCCCTGGCACAACTTGAGGCCATTTCCGCTTGTTCCATTGCCCGTTCCCTGGGAGCAGAGACTGACTCCCCCAGCTATCCCCTCCTATCAGGCAGTTATAGGGAGCGATAAGGTCTCTCCTCAGCCTCCTCTTCTCCAGACTAAAGTCCTTCCATCCAAGGGTAGAGAAAAATTGCTTTTCTCCCATCTATCTTCTACCAAACTCTTACTACTGCCCTTAATATATTGATTCTCTTTTGTACAGAATCTCCTTTTGGTTTAATCAGCTCAGCTTTTCTCTCTCTTTGTTTCTTTTTTTTTAAAAAAAAAAGTCTCTAAAATAGACTTTCAAGTCTATATTAAGGGTTGTTCATAGGTAAAGTATTTAATTAAGATAGCTCACCATTTAATTTACCCATTTAAGATATCACCCATTTAAGACATTGTACATCTCATGTAACATTTCTTGAAACACCGAGAAGTGGAATATTCAAGAATGGCAAAGATAAGCCAGATGGATATTGATCTTTCTTCAATTTTATTTTCTTTCTATCATTTACCTTTATAGAGTTTATATTTTCAACTCTGAGGAGACTGATTAAAAGGCAGGAGTATGGGCACACAGTCGAACTTGATTGGATTCTTCTGTTAATATTTTACTGCTAATCAACAGAGCCAATGTAACAGCGTATGTGTGCTTTGCCCACTCCAGTTCTGGGGCATAATAGGTTAACTGAAACGATATTCATTGGCTTTCTAGTTGCTCTCAGCTATATGTGCATAATTTGTACTTGGTAGTGACCCCTATAACTAAGGGTGCCTTACTTTTTCACTGTACACATGTTTTTGTTTGCATATAGCTCTGTTAAACTTTAACTCTCTAGGCTCCAGTTTTCCAAGGGAGGGGCAAAGCTGTTGTAAGAATTCTGACAATGGGCTTAGAACTGGAAATAGACACCTGATATTGTGATAATCCTTTTTAAAAGCAAAAGAGAGGTAATTTTCACATACCTAGTAGAGCTAGATAAGTTTTCATGGTGGGGGAGGAAAATACCTTTGACTGCTCTGTTGCTTTGTGGGGGGGTTGTGGTTAAAGTCTGTCTACCTGTCTGGCCATGGGTATGATCCTTGTCTGTGGTAGAATCATAAAAAAGATCCCTGGTTTTGAGGAATGTGATGGTGATACTGTCATATATGCTTTAGGAATATAGGTTATTGCCTTTTGAGGTAGCCAACAGGGGCACAGAGACCAGTGAAATAATTTTGTATCTGTTAATAAACATTTGTGATACATAGCATCTAGCTCAGTGGTACACAGTAACCAAACTATTTGATTCCAGGAGTTGTGTTCTGAAATACTCATGTTACAAACCTCCAAATGTCCTCCTGTCCTAAATTGCTACCCTCTCCCTCTTTTTGCATATTGCATCTTTTTATATGTTTCTGCCCAGCCTTCTGCTTTTCTTTACATGATACACCAGGAAACAACACAAGTGAGAATTCAGCTGTGCCATTTGAGATGTTACCACACCAGTTCCAGAGGTGGTCAAGTAAGATGGGTGCCAGTTTGGAGAAAGAAGAGCGTGTATTTTTGCTTAGCAAAGGTGCTAGAAGCTGTTTTGGAGATATATTTAACTCAAACCATGACAGACAATAAGTGCCATCTCTCAGGGCTGAAATGATACAGGTGGTTGTGAGCTGTGTGGGGCCCGTCAGGACTTTTACTCCACTGACAACCAGTTAATTTTGTGTTCTTTGCTCCTTATGCTTTGAGAAGTCTTACGAGCTTGACACATCAGAAAATCTGTGGAGGATAACTGAAGGGGTTGCACAAATCCTATTTGACAGAATTAGCAACAGAATACAAGCCACTGCTATGTCAGTCATGTCTCAGCTACTCGAATAAACTTTCTTCTGGAACTAATGTTTGGGTCAGTGTTGTGGTCTCTGATTTCATCCTTGAATCATCCTTTCCTGTAGCCATTGGTGAATTAAGTAATCTTGGTTTCAAAGAATTCCACCTTTTTGAAAATACTCGTGTAAACTAATGGTGATGTAGCTACTCTTTGCCTTTTGCAGCTGGTTATTCCTTTAATTGAAGGGCTGTGGTGTTATCCAGTCCTGGGTTTCTGATCTTCCTACTCTGCTGTTCTGTTTGCCTCTGGCTAGTGAATGTTTCTACCAATTTGATAATTTTTAGTTTTGGTTTACTTGGAAGTTTTAATAAAAGAATACTTAAGCATAAAATCTTCTCTCAAAACTAAGGAAAAGATGAAATTAAGATTGCCTGTGCATCCTTCATTTATTCCCCCTTTATCTAAATAACTCCATAACTGCAACCATGTTTTCTTTCACAGTCTCTTTAAATAGAAAGTGGACAAGGAGGAAGGGAGCTTCTGTGTGAAATCTTATGACAGATTAGCAGAAACATTAGAAAGATGGTCTTGTGATATGACAAGAACAGTACAGCAAGAACAGCTCCCAAGACGATATCAATGTATAGAAAATACTGGTTTAGAGGTTATTGTGGGAGTGAGTAGCTGCACTAGCGTGTATTTTGATGTAAAGAAGCTGGTTGAGAGGCTGAAAGCAATTTGACTATGTGATGAAAAAAATTGTTTTCTTGATTCATGGTAGGGGAAAAAAGCAAAAGTAATAATGGTATTGACTTTAGATATGCATATCTGAACATAGCTGGAGATCTGTAAATAAAGGACTCCTGGTAATTAAGAGTGCTGAAGGGCTACAAGTTTCTAGAAGAAAATACTTATTTACAATGGCAAGCTGTGTCAATATGGAAAAAAATATAGGAAACATAGGAAAAGTAGTGAGGAGCTATTTAGTGACTTGAAGGTTGACAAGGCTTTGTGCAAAACAGAAAAATGAAAGTAAGTATTTACTGCTAAAGCTCAATGTGAAAGAAAAGGGCAAGCATGTAAGAGTGAAATCTACCCGTGGTGCATTGTTTTAAATTAGCAGATTTGAAAAGCATTAAGAAATATATTTCTAAATCACTAGAAGGATGATGAAAGGGATGAACCTGTGAATAGAAAAAGAAAGCAAAGAATAGATTGCACAGATACTTAAATTAACAACGAGGCAGTAAATCATACCAAACAAAAAGGACAAATTCAATACCTTTTAGGCATTGGATAATATTGTGTCACTTACCAGGATTCAACTGTGTGGGTTGGTTTTGGGGTTTTGTTTTTTTTCGTTTTGATTATTTAAGCAACTGAATCAGAGTTCTTTGACAATTATTTTGAATGAGTTTCCAGATGATAAATACTATTTTTATTCTTCTACTGTTGTGTGAAAGGGTGGCTTCTGGAAATCACTGGACAGAATAGTCTCTGACACTTACAGGATACAATAGACAATTAACTTGCGTGTGCCTAGGTAAAAAGTAGCCAAAATGGATTTCAGAAGAAGAATCACATTGAACTAACATGATTTCCTCATCTTACCATACGGTAACTATTGTGAAAGAGGAGAATTAGCTGTTTTCTGACCGTACAAATATTTTTGACTTGTGTTAGTGTGACATTTGAATAAGCACACGAGAAAAATGTGGTATAAATCAGTGGATTTTTTTTTTTTTTTTTTAATTCTCCTTACTAACTGCAAAGACCACTTCTCAAGGTATCACAGTTGTAGTTTGGTTGTAGT